AATATGCTCTTGACATCGGAGCCAAAATTTTGCAGATGTATGAGGGCATGTTCGATCTGCTCTTTCCTCTTCCCAAAAGTGGTAAGCACTTGAACTCTGTTAAATTTGTGTGTGTAACATTGAGTTGTTTGATTATTTTAAAAGTATGGTAATGTTGGGCATATTAGATGGTCAAATAAAAAACAACTCTTGTATAGCTAACAACAATAGACTGTTAATAATATATATAAAGAATGATGTAACTATAATACATAAAGTTTGGCCATTAGAATTTCTCTGTGCTTACTGATTGACTTGGAATCCTTTTACTTATTTCAGATATGGCAGCCATTCCTGATTATTCCTCGGGTGCCACAGAACACTGGGGCATCATAACATTTAGGGAAACAAGCATTTTTTATAACCAGAACCAGAGTTCTGCTGTTAACAAACAGAGAGTGGCTTCAGTGGTTGCCCATGAATTAGCTCATCAGTGGTTTGGCAATCTTGGTATGATAGTTCCTGGTATTAAGATAAAGACAGAATTAAAAGTAGTGTTAGAATTTTTTGAGATATAAAATTTATTCATGTGATCTCAAGTATATATATTTTTTTACTTATTTTTGTAGCAGCTATATGTAAACTATTTTTTAGAGTTTAATGGAAGACCATAATACATCTTTGTTTAATGATATTGAACAAAGATTTAGGCTTTCTTAACAGTAATGTTAGCCCAAGTTGATATGCACAGACCACCTAGTTTAGTTTAGATTTCATTGCATTGCTGTATGGATTGTTAAATTGGTTGGATCAGTTAACTTTTCAAAATGTCTCAATCTCTTTCATAATTATATCACATCCTAATTTCATGTAAAAGTCTTTGAGACCAAATGTCATATAAGATATATTCTTTTCATCAAAGGAAATGATGAATTTCGAGTAAATATCAGCCTCATCCCAAATATGTTTTGTAAGAATTATAGCACATTGAAACAATTTTTTTTGTGAAATACAAATGAATTGGCTGAATTTGATATTTTAAACTCTACATTCTTTATTGATATATTTTCAGTTACTTTGGAATGGTGGAATGACTTATGGCTGAATGAAGGGTTTGCTAGCTATGTTGAATTTAAAGGAGTGGATCATGTTCATCCAGAATGGGAAATGGTAAGTAGATAATCTCTTAGTTCTGTGAGAAATTCTGTATTTTATTTTAAAAAAGGCTTCTATTTCATTAAGGACATGCCTAGGGAGAGATGCAAGTCAGTGGGTTGTGAAAAAGAAAATCAAAGTTCCTTTTCATGTTATCTTATTAGTCAAATTCAATTGTCAAAGTTGGGTTTAAGGGGGCTGTTGCGCTCGAGAGAGAAGTTCGTCAGTTATCATCGGATTTTCTTTATTTTTTAATATGTTATGCATACATAATAAATTGATAAACACCACCAAGTTTCATATCATTTGGATAATAAATTATGAAGTTATTTAAGAAAAACAAGTTTTTGAACAATAACAAAATCTTTGAAATTGCACTTATCCACTGAACAAACTTGTTGAAAAAAATACCACCTATACTCTATAGCAATACCTAAAACTTGCAAAGGCCAGAAATTTTAATTTCCTTTTAGTTTAGTGGGAATTTATATTTTCTAAATGTTTAGTCTTATGAACATAAAGATATAATATATGGACTTCTATTACCTAAATTGAAAATCGTCTTTAACAAAAACATCACAAATTTATTCAGCTTTCAAATGATCCAAACCCCTTTAAAATTGTCCAAGTTTATGGAGCCTTTAAAAAAATATTGACAAAAGTGTAGTTTTGAGATATTGGGCTCCAAAGTTTAGGATACTTTTCCCTCAATTTTTTGTTTTTTTATTTTTTCTATTTTTTTTAAATTCTTATCTCTGCGTCAATCTTGCTGCATTCTGTGACATTCACATGGTATTCTGAAGTGTAGCTGGTACATGGTCACCACAGGCTTTGCAGTGTCTAACCTGACCACATGAGGTATTTAAATGTATAAACAATTGCTGCAGCTGTGATTAAGAAGTATTTTACGTATTACGTTTATTAAATACTAAACTAACATCTACAATTAGTAGTGTCCCCTTACTGTGTGATGAGGGCGTACGTTTGCGATATGGTGTCATTTTTCTCTTATTTTCTGGTGGAGCTTTGTCTCCCAGAGTCCCAGTCTTGACGATCAGCTGTTGGGTAAACAGAGTTGCCAGCTAGCTACCTGAGAATGCCAAAATAAATAGAAAAAAATCTGAAAAAAACTTTGTCAAGTATATTTGCACGGATGTGACAAAGTAAACATCGGAGCGGGAGGCGGGGGGGTCAGAGAATTTTTTATAACTCCTTTACTTTTATGTATTTAGTAAAAATATTATGTCATGGGATTGCCAAAGCCTACTAGATTACAGGAGATTTGTTTAAATTTTTTGAGTATTTTTTAATATTTTGTCGCGACAGTTCCCTTAAGTTATTAACACCAGGAATGTATATATTCATA